ATATATAATACACCATATAATATTTATAAATATATAAACATTTAAAAACACATTAACAATTAGGTAAATTAGACATTTAATATAAATATTAATACTAATAATAATAATAATATTAATAATAATCAATTAGACAATTAATTGCAATTAGCTATTTAGCACTCACAATAACAATAATAATAATAATGATATCAACTTCGCCAATAATAATAAACAATTTAGACAATTAGACAAATAATAATAGTAATAATAATAATAATAATAATAATAATAATAGCAATTATAATAATATTAATAAAATAAATTAATAAACAAATAATCTCAAATATATCACAAATAAACGGGGCATTACAATTTGATATGAAAGCTCCTGGGATATAGCGATGGTTTTCGCATAAAGCTATTTTCCTACAGCTTTGAGACTGCTTATGGACATTTTAACTTTTGAAGATCAACAAATATGTAAACACACAATGCAGATCTATGAACTGAAATGTGCATTTTTTGTTGCTCAATGCATTCATTTCTAACACATGCAATCAGGTCATTAAATTTTCTTTCAAATTTACTAAACTCTAAGATGTATCTCAAAACGTGTTAGATTTGTAGCTTGGAGGGAATTCTCAATAGGAAATACACGAAACAGGTCACAACATATAACAAGACAACAAGAAGATTTTGAAGTCCTCTAGCGCTTGAGGATTTTGATCTCATAAATGTAGTCGATGACCTCCATGAGCGAGGCCATGCGTTTCTCCTTAAAGTTCCAGAGCTCGGGAACCACATAACGGCCGCCCGGGCTGTATTCTTCCATCTCCATGAGGGCCGTGGTCACAACCTCATAAATCTTTTCGCCCCATTCTTCCCGAAGTTCCCACAGCTCATCATCATCCTCCTTGATCTCCCTCTACAGTACATTGTAAATTTGGTCAAATCGAGAAAAGAATATGTGTGTGTGTGTGTGTGTGTGTGTGTGTGTGTGTAACAAAGCAAAAGAGTAAGGGAACCTTGGCATGCTTCTCATCCTTATCCTTGACCACACGGATCTGGCGCCACTCAACATTCTCCACTTTTTCTTGCCATATAGAGCACATTTTGAACAGCCTTGACCTCAGCCTCTCCAGCCAAAAATCTCTTTCGACATGCTGTTTTGAAAGCTTTGTCGTCAATCGCGCCCATTTTTTTTATTCCAATGTACCCTACAGGGAGGCTGCTTAGTATATCTGTCAAACACTGATAAAGACATACAAGTGCATCAAATGAGTTCAAACGAACGAAGTGGCAATAGGTGCACATGCTTATCCAACAGATGAAGCAAACACATATAGAGGATACAAATAGCTTCACAATAAAATACGAACAAAGATCCTTTTTCAGAGTTTGAACCAGTACCTCAATGAGCACTTTCCTTGCCGCCTGAAGCTCTTCATTGCTCGGGAGCTGATTGTTCAATTTCCTGACAAGTTTCTTCAATGTGTCTACCTTATCTCTCTGTGTAACATAAATAAGCATAAATGGAAAAACAACCAATAGCCAATATTCCTTGAAGTATCTTAACTCGATTAAAGGCACTTAACTAACTCGATTACCTGTTCGCTCCATGTGCAACTTTCAGCTCATAGTAAATCGATTTGCTCCGAGAATCAAGCCCCAATTTCACAACATCAGCGTCGAGCAACGCCTTCTCGTGCAATAGCTCAAGTTCGTCGCGTACATCACCGAATGTGGCTACCAGCTTGTTTTCACAAATCAGCTCCAGCGACTCGATACCTTTCGGCTTGTCGTTATCGGGAAAGTTAGTTGCAGCCATCGTTGATAGTCTTTCCAGCTCGTAACGCGTGAATGCATGTTCATATTGTAATAAACTGGTTCATAACAATCAAAACTCTTTCCCAGCACTTCTTCCATTATTGATAACCGAGCACATTCAGGCAAATACAGCAGCACCTGCAGAATCGCTTGAGCGACCTCCTCTCCTGACTGGGTATCCTTACCCAAAGTGTAGATAGCATTTTCAAGGCTGGATGGCCTAAGAATTATGTCTTGCACTGTATTGTATTTTGCCGTTCTCAGAAGCCCATCGTAGTTGCCCATCGTCTTTGCCACGTTGTACGGAGATACAGGAAAAATCATTTTTTTGTCATTGGAACACTTAATCCAGTTCCAATTATCTCCAACAAAAGGCTTATATCCGACCAAATATAGATCAGAATTTTGGAATTTCAGCTTAATCGAATTCGATTCTGACTCTGACAGAGTCACATCAATATCATGATATTTACTTTCTTCACAAGACAGAATATTAATATTGTTTCTCAAACCGATGAAAACATATTGTCTCCATTTTTTCAAAAACTTACAAAATCCTCCTCTTCTTAAGGATTCCAGGTGAAGTTTTCTGCTCCAAATCATTTTTCAATAGCAGAAAAAAAAAACTGACAGGATAGATTTCAGCTTTACATTGTATTGAAGAATTCCTGGTCGGGAAGAGGCGATTCACGTCGGGAACCGCCGCCGTCGGCCGCTCTGTGGCTGTTGAGAGGATTTCGCGGAGGTCCTGCTCAGAGAGAATTTGATTGCATGTGCCAAATGTGAGGGAGAGGGAAGTTTTTAGCGCGGAGAAGGAGAGGACAAAAAGTAAATGTACATTGTAACTAACTAACAGCCTGGAGAAGTAGGGAGAAACTTGTAAATTTGAGACAATAACAAACTTCACGCAAGTGTAACAAATCTACGAACATTAATTTAATTTAATTTTTTTTTTATTTTATATTTATTTATATAATATTTTTAATATATAATTTTATTTGTTTTTTTATATATTTACATAATATTTCTAATAAAAAATATAAAATATAAAAATATTTTTATTTTCGAGTTCGAACGAACAAATTTCGAGTTAATCAAATATATTTACAAAATTTATGTATTAAATTATTCGAACACGAACAAACTCGAACTTTGACGAACAATTAAACGAACGAATTCAAACACGTTTTTTTGCTCGAAAAATAAACGAACGAAACACGAACACTATTCAAACATAAACAAACACGAGCTCGAACAACCCAAGCTCGGTTCGATTTTGTTCGTTTACAGCACTACTTAACAAATTATTCCAGTCTTTTTGAATAATTTTTTATTTTCAAAATGTGGGCAAGTTGGATAAATCACGTGAAAGTTTTATTTTAAAACAAAAGTTATATTTGGATGGATATACATTCAAAATCATATCCACTTTTTGGTAACAAAATTGGTTCATCTTTGACATTTAAAATCAAAACTTATTCAATTGTTTAGGAAAGAACTCAAATCAAACCGTGTGTAACTTTTTAAAAATTGGATGCACCGATTTTTTTGGATTCTTATGTTTTCTTAACCATGTTTTACCGAGATTTTAATAAGTTCATATAAATTTTTTTGTTAAGTTCATATTAATTTTTTTAGAAAGAAACAGTTGTATAAATCTTTAACAAAATATTCCGATCTTTTATTAGAATTAATTTTAATTCAATTTGATTGGGAAAAAAATTGTTGCAATGTTAGAAAAATTTAGTTGCATTTTTAGGAAAAATTGATGACTCTTTTCACTTTGTTTAAACTAAACATTCGGATCAATTTGTTTGGTAAAAATATCAGTGTAGGTAGAAAAAATCGATTTCATTTTTAGAAAAATTAATGATTCATTTCAATTTTACTTAATCAAAATTTTAAATTGGAATTAAAAAAATAGCGTGTATTAAAATTTTTCTACTTTTTTTCTACTAGAATTTTGTTTAATAAATAAGATCCCTTATTTTTTTTAAATGTAAATTGTTAATTAATAACTAAGAATATCTAATTTTAGATAAAATTTGAATACTCATGTAGTATTTTACGTTCCAAATAATCAAACTAAGAATGATGTACATAAGAAAGTGTTCAATATTATATAAATTTTATTTTCACGACATTTTTAATAATATAAGATAATTTAAATACATAAATATATTTTAAAAATAAAGTAGGTAACCGTGCGCACTGATAGTGTATTAGTTTTGAATAACAACATAGGGTATGTGAGAAAATTTATACTTTAATTAAAAAGTAATAATAAAGTCTATTTTTTAATTTTAAATGTTGGCTCGATGTGTTTCATTTATTTGAGTTCAATTTGTTTGAGTAATGAACTGAATTCGAGCTTTC